TTAGATAACAGATGGCACTGATTACAACACGTAGTTGAGACTTGTGTCAAGTACAAGCAACCAGTGGTATAGCCAATGCGACGAGGTAAGTCATGTGACAGCGTTATTAATGGTGGCCTGCCTGTCGATGTCGTGTGTTGAAGTAAGAGAGCACAGTGGGCGGTGACTGTTTACGTACATCAACCCATGAGTGTAACAGAGAGAACACTACGATGCGAACGAGTCAAATTTTACGAGAGCAACACAAGCGTCATATTGCCGACTCGTTTGCACTAATGTTCTGCGGAAAGGACGTAACGAGTGACGATTTGGCGATTCGCTCATATCATCATATCGTCTCTGTTGCTTGCACGACCTGAGATACGTAAATAATTCTACCCACTCTCCTCTCTTTTACCATAGGGCATCTATAAGCTGAACACCATTAATGAGGCTTATGTCAGTGCACTTATGTTTTGAATCAAAGAATAACAAATATTGTATCTTTCAGTAGACAGTATATACACAGTGATTTGTTAGAAATTGGGATTCTACTTTATGTTATAAGCTTTGTTAAATTATAATATTAGATATACATAAATACGTTATTAACTATCAATTGCTGAAGTGAAACAATATAAAATAAGGAAATAGATGTAAAATATGTATGAGCTGAATAACCAATATACTGATATGAGTACATATTGGTTGTGATTGGAATAAATTAGAGTGAAAGTAGGAATCTGTAGAAAGTGGACAGGCAAGAGAAAGATCAGATGAAGTATATAAGGAAATAAGGACACAAGAGTGAGGAAAATAAATACATAATGAAATATAAAACTGATTTATTAAAATATGATTTGAATATTAATATTAAAATAACTGAAACTATAAAATGTAAAACTTATTTAAAACTTATTCTGTCCTCGAAATCATCGTTTGATGATTCAATAGCCGTAGTAGTTCTGTACAATCGTTGTTCGCCTATTATAACGTCGTGACCCTCGATTATTATTATTCCCTCGGGAGGGCCTACCGCCTCTCCCACGACCTCGCTGTTGCTGTTGTTGTTGCTGCTGCTGTTCTCCCCTCTGCTGCTGTTGTTGTCTGTGGCGGGAATACCATCGTTGTTTGTTTTTCCCGCCACCTCTTTTTCGTGTTGCAGCTGCAATAAAGAATAAACAAGATTCGATAAATATTTTAATGTAACGTTCCGACCTTATACCCCCCTATCCGTTATCCTTTTTCCTTCCCAATCATTCATTCTCAATGATGGATACGTCAAGAGCCCCACATAAGAGTGCATAGCGCACTGTGGATGTGCATAACAGTATCTGAGAGAACTCCTCAAATCCTAGAATTCCTCAATAATCCTATTGACCTCTCAAAGCGACGCCGTTAAAGGAAAGAGAATATAGGACCTTTAATTCTCTAATATTGCATAATTCCCTTGAATCTAGTCACAGCGACAGTCATGAGGATATAATATTAGAAACTATTACTTTTAATATTCCTAGAATCCGAAATACAGTCGACAGACTGAAA